GATGAAGACGCGTTTTGTGATTTCAGGGGGATTCGTGGTTGGATCAATGTATGATGCATGCGCAGGTGAAGTTGTAGTTGCCACCAAGAAGGCTGACGCCAGGGTCGATTGGACAAAAGCTCGACGATCAAACTCGACATCATCATCATCACATGCTGGGGATGACTGAATCGTGATGCCACTCGTTGTCACCGAGTTGAAGGAGAATCCATACGCAGAATGAATAAACCTTGACAGCAGCAGAATAAGCACCGGTGTAGTGGAATGCATGTTCACCTATCTGGTACAACCGTTTTGACAGACCTTGTTGCAAAGATACAAATATTTTTATAGTGCCACCTGTCAGAAGCCGATGATTGGATGACGTCACAGAAAATTTCAACTGGGTGCCTCGCACCTCAACTCTGCCATTGTACTTGTATGATACTGTACGCTGACATCTTACAGTCGCTTTTATATTCAGAAAAGATTACGGGGATATTAGCCTGTGCTGTTAAAAGATGATTTGAATCATGTACACGATTTAGGTTTTACTGACAATTATTCTATTTTTGTGACTTCTTGGCGTTCTGTTGGCTTTTGTCAGCAATTTCTTCTTGAGTCTTTCATCATTTGTGATTCCGTCATTGACTTGTATTTAGACTCCACCATGGACTGTATCATAAGCGAAACAGTGGAAGTTTGTGACTTTTGCTACATTTCAAATTGGTGCTTTTTGTTTCGTTACATCATGTCCCTCCTCACCATCTATTATCATCTCTCCCCTTCTTGCTGATAACCATATTTACATTGGATTTAGGGTATTGACCCCAACAATATTGATATTGACTCCATCAGGATACCATGAAGTGTCTGGTAACGTGTTTCGAGGACCAATGTCACTCAAAAAGTTCAAAAAGCAAATGAACAGAATCATATCAATCCAAAAGCGAGGGTCTCGAGCGAGTTCTGGAAATCTAGCAAAGGCACCATCGGGATCGATGGCATCCAATATTGGATTGTCAATAACGACATTGGAAAAAGTATCATAATTTTCCCATTCTTCGTCATCCAAGTCGTCGTCTTCATCGTCATCATCGTATTCTTCCTCGTCATCGTCTACATTGGCATACACCCGTTCTTCCACTCGGTCGTAGAATTCATTCTCTTCTTCTTCGCTATCAAACATTCGTCCCCTTTCTCGTCGTCTCGGCACCTTGGCGAGATCACCCTCATCGTCATCGTCATAATAGTTGCTGGCTTGCAAGGATGGTGTCACGTGGCATGATGCTGTCATGATGCGAGTTGCTGAGGAGATTGGAGCAAAACTTGATGCATTCTGTATTGCGATTGCAAGTAGTATCAGTGCAAAGGTCTTCATTGTATTTTTTTATTTGTTGTTGCGGGTTCTCTTTTGGTTTGCTGCTTGTTGTTCTCTGCTATTGTTGGATTGATGACTTGATTGATCAATCGGCTTATTATTTTGTTGGGGATTTCATTGATTTTGATTGATTGGCACGGTTTTCCGTTGGGTGGTTGTGCGTATAACAGACAGACGATACTTTCGACTCAGTCGAACAACATCTAAATAAAATAATCACGAATGAAAATCCGTCTTCTGATTTCTGACATCATCACATCTCACCATCATTATTCTTCACCTTCTCTTCTTTCCGCAAGACGACAATCACCTCACTATTTCTGACATCATCGAGTCTTTGGGATCTTTGGTAATTCTTCACCTTCTCCTATTTGAAAGAGACGAAAAACTCACCTATCACTTGACGCCATAAAATATACATACCTCAAGAAAGTATTAGTATATATCATATCATATCTACTAATAAATACCGCTATTCATTCATTCATTCATTCATCCATCATGGATCTCGAGACTGCAAAGAGGTTTTTCAATGAACACACTGAAATGTTGGCCGTGGCTACCTCCAGTGTAATTGTCGGTGCCTTCATATGGTACCAAACCAGTGACACTTACGAGGCCGATTGGGTCCAAGCCTGCAAAGATCCCACCAATGGCAATATGGAACAATGGCTTCAAGACCATCCAGGTATGGTCAGTTATGCGGAAGACTTTGAATTCGGAGCCTTCAGCGGAATGGTGTGTCGCCAAACGCAACTTTACTACCAGCTAAATGAATACAATGCCAGTGCCATTGCTATGATGTTGTCGGCAACCACCTCCATGCCATTGCTCATGGCAATGTTGTTGGAAGCTGGACGTGGGGATGCTGGAGGTGCATTGAAAATGCCATTGATTTTTTGGATCTTGAGTCAGGAATTTGGTTTGGCCGTCGTTTTCCCTCTACTGTGGTTACCGCTCTACTGTGCCTATAAAGGCGAACCCAAGAGTGCCATTAACCCCCTTCGAGTCTATGCTTCCTTGCCCTTGGTGCTGCCTCAGTTGGTTTTGACAATTTTGATATTTTACCTCAATCCAGGAAGTTCCGGTTGGTCGAATTGTGTCGGATTATTGGCGGGGCCAATCTTTTCTGGATGCAGCATGCTGTTGAGTTTGATTGGAGATCCATCGACCGAAGAAACAAAGGAAAAGAAGGAAATTGCTACAACTTCACGGCGACTAATGGCGTTGATGTATGGAGCTGCTGGCCTCTTGTCAGTCGCTACGTGGCTCTGGTTGCTCTTTTTCATGATCATACCGGCTTTTGGATGGTCTTCTATCCAAGGCGTCTGTGACGAATTATGGACCAATGCACCAACCAAGCTAAGCTACAAGTCTCTGGAACTGTTGGCTCTCTGGTTCTCGGGTCTCGTTTACATTGGGGTCCAGTCCGGGTCCCCACAAGCGGTCATCGAAGCCATGTCAATTAGCGCCGTCTTTGGACCTGGGGCTGGACTTTGCTCGGCACTTGCGGGTGTTGCTGTAAGCGAAGATATGGAAGCCATTGAAGAGGCCAAACGAAGAGAGCAGGACAAGAAGAGCAAGAAAAAGGGCAAGAAGGAATGAGCTTTTCATTCATTCTGTCAAGTGCTACCATTTTTCTGCCAGGAATAATCTGGAGGCAGCACCTTACATAGCTAGCTATTGATAGCAATTCTTTATACAGTATACACAGTTATCTATCACTATATCTACCGGGGTATTGTCCATCCCACCCACGGTGGCCTGTGGTTCGAAAACAAAATGTCCAGTTATTTTCAAATTCCGGACAAAAGTCCGGAGAATGGGTTTAGTCTTACTAGTCGGAAATGTCTGTAACAACAAGAACTCGTCGGATCTGAGAGCGAACAACGAATGAATCAATCAATCAATCGAGCAGATACATTACCTCTAGCGCTTGCTTCACGCATAGGCAATACTACACCAAGGGGCCAGTTCATCTCGCAAGTGCTCAAGTCAACATGGAATCGCAAGAAGATGGCGGACCCGAGCCCATTGTTTGGAAACGAATATCGTCTGCAGTTGAATCCGATTCAGGACGTTTGGAAGCTAGCGAGTCGCTTCCAAACGAAACGGAAACCTCCACTGATGGTGAATCCGATCCCAAACGTTTGAAAACTGACGAATCCTCGATTCCAAAAGAAAGCACAACGAATGGAGAGGCCGTGCCAGTTTCCGAAGCAGCGAAGCGCCAAAACATGATCGAAACCGAACTGAATGGCATGATCAAAGAAATGATGGACTCGGAAGATTTCCAAGAGGAAGACGAAATGGAACCCGAATCGTATGAGGCAATCATGAAAGCAGCCAAGGAAATCTGCTACACGCGTAAGATCTACGATGTTTCTGCCGACAAAATCGTCTTCTTTCCAAGCATAACCAAAACGATTGTCAACATGGATCTGTTTGAGAAAGCGGAGGAGTACTATTATGATGAAGGTGACGAATTTCCAATGGAGTACTCGATGGGTCTTAGGAACATCGCTTTTGAAAAGCTCGAAGCGGAAGGGGAGGATGATGACGACGAGGAAATGGACGATGACATGATGGAGCGGCTATCAATGGCTGTGCAGCTGACGGAAGATGATAAGGACGAACTCCAGGAAGCGATTGCCGCTGCTGAGGCAGCAGATGAAGAAGGAGCAGATGAAGACAACGAAAAGAGGGAAGATTCTGTAATGGATCCGGTCACTGAAGCAGCAGGTGAAGAAGAGGAAGATCAAGGAACCGATGAGAATGAAGATTCTGCAATGGATACGGTCAACGAAGTAACAGATCAAGAGGAGGCAGAACAAGACATCAAAGAGGACGAAGATTCTGTTATAGACCCGATCAGCGAAGCAACAGATCACGAAGAGGTAGAACAAGGCATCGACAATACAAATGTTTCTGCAATAGACCCGATTGACCCTCTAGTGGATACCTCCTCTGCGATTCCCGAGGAAAGCACAACGTCTGCTGCTGTCTCAAACGGAGAAGCCGTACCAGTTTCCGAAGCAGCGAAGCGCCAAAATATGATCGACACAGAACTGAACGGCATGATTAAAGAAATGATGGACTCGGAAGATTTCCAAGAGGAAGACGAAATGGAACCCGAATCGTATGAGGCAATCATGAAAGCAGCCAAGGAAATCTGCTACACGCGAAAGATCTACGATGTTTCTGCCGACAAAATCGTCTTCTTTCCAAGCATAACCAAAACGATTGTCAACATGGATCTGTTCGAGAAAGCGGAGGAGTACTATTATGATGAAGGTGACGAATTTCCAATGGAGTACTCGATGGGTCTTAGGAACGTCGCTTTTGAAAAGCTCGAAGCGGAAGGGGAGGATGATGACGATGAGGAAATGGACGATGACATGATGGAGCGTCTGTCAATGGCTGTGCAACTGACGGAAGATGATAAGGACGAACTCCAGGAAGCGATTGCTGCTGCCGAGGCAGCAGATAAAGACGAGGCAGACCAAGATGGTGCAATGGATCCGGTCACTGAAGCAGCAGATGAAGAAGAGGCAG